CTCTCTCTCTCTCTCTCTCTCTCTCTCTCTCTCTCTCTCTCTCTAACTCTCCCACCTTCTCTCTCCTCTTCTCTTCTCTAACTCTCTCTCTCTCTCCTAACCCTCTCTCTCCCTCTCTCTCTGTAACCCCTTCTCTCTCTCTAACTCACTCTCTCACTCCCCACCCCTCTCTCTAACTCTTTAACCTTCTCTCTCTCTCTCCTCCTCAGGTGCACACGGAGTTCGGACTGCAGACGAGCAAGCGCACCGACTACGACGCCGACGTCGCCACGCAGGACCTCGAACTCTGCGCCAACGTCGCCTTCGCCGCGGCGCGCCAGTACATCTGGGGCTACCAGGAGCTTCTGGACATTACGGGCATTGACGGATGTCCAGACCTACACATAGTCATGGCCAGCGAAGATGACATGGCGAAGGTGAGGAGGAGGGGGAGGGTGTGGGGAGGGGAAGGGTGTGGGGAGGAAGGGAGGGGGAGTGTGTTCGTGTGTGTGTGCGCGTGTGTGTGTGAGTGTGAGTGTGCGTGGGGGGCAGACACAATCGTAATACCCCGCCCCTCCTTCCCCCGCCCCCTCGCCTCCCTCCCCCGCCCCCTGCCCTTCGCCCCCTCTCTCCCGCGCCACGCCCCTGCTTTCGATATCATCCACCGTGCGGCTCACCTGACCCCCAGGCTTCTTCGCTCACAGACTGCAGAGTACTTCGATTGTCCCGACGGCTCGTCGCAGAACGACGATGCGTGCGAGTATCCGCGTACAGCGGGCGCTGAAGCCGTCTGGAACGGAACGCTACCGATCTGCAAAGGTAAATTTTATGCCTCGTTAGTAATGGCAAAGGTAAATTTTATGCCTCATTCGTAATGGCAAAGGTAAATTTTATGCCTCGTTAGTAATGGCAAAGGTAAATTTATGCCTTATGGTAATGGCAAAGGTAAATTTATGCCTCATTCGTAATGGCAAAGGTAAATTTTATGCCTCATTAGTAATGGCAAAGGTAAATTTATGTCTCATTAGTAATGGCAAAGGTAAATTTACCTGATGATAATGGCAAAGGTAAATTTACCTGATGATAATGGCAAAGGTAAATTTACCTGATGATAATAGCAAAGGTAAATTTATGCCTTATGGTAATGGTAAAGGTAAATTTATGCCTCATTAGTAATGGCAAAGGTAAATTTACCTGATGATAATGGCAAAGGTAAATTTACCTGATGATAATGGCAAAGGTAAATTTACCTGATGATAATAGCAAAGGT